AAAACGATGGAATCAGAAGACCTATCACCTTCACCTGACCTACGGCACGATATCAGCGTGATCGCTAGAAATTAACAGCATGATACGTTTATAATTCATTTATAAACTTTTATTTATTGCCACTGTTCAGATGCCATCGAATCTTCGTCGTCAAAACATGCATTTTACTGTGAATTTGCTTCTGTTCTTTTTTGAAGAATTCCTTTTTTAGAATTCAGGTTTATATTTTTTACACGTTCACATGCGATTGAATGCATGGCTGGCTGTAGACCCAGCTTCCATTGGCAGACTGTTTGCTTTATTTTCTTATCGTGCCTCGTCCGTTGTCGCAGATAAACACCAGCGCGTTCAACACACAAAACACAGCTTACATTGGTTTGAGAAAAATATTATATAACTGACTAACTAGTTATCTATGGCGATATGCGATGCTTTGTGCATGATAGTAAAATATCGACTTATGACACTACTGTATACTTATGTACTATTATTAGTACGATATTGTGGTATTAGTCGATACAGTGGCTGCTACGTATAGCGTTGTAAGGCGAATTATTATACTGTAACGTATTGACATGCAGCACTTCTGGACAACGTTCATATTCGGGAAACGGTCAGTGTATGCTAATCGATCGATGCGATTCGTCGATCCTATGCCTGTAAGCTGTTCATATCGCATTCCAGCATGAAAATATGTATATTCGTAATAAAAATAAGAGATAGGAAGAATAATCAATGCATAAGAATAAAACTTATACTCTGTAGTGTCATTACCTGAGTGAAGAGGCTGCAGTGGCAATGGGCCGAACAAGTTACAGAAAGAACTTACCATCACCGAACCAGACAGACGTTACAGACATTACAGTAGGTTCGAATAGAGAGTAAGCGTCCCGTGCACAGGCCAGCCCATCAGCGGTAGGATGAGCTGAAGATGGATCATTTATCTGATTAAGATGGATAAGAATCACAGAAAACATAGGTCTGCGGTAAATGTCGCGAAGTCCTTCGCCGAGCACTA